TGTATTTTGCATTTTTTTTTAAGTCATCGAGCAAGATCCTGGTCTCTTTCGTTCTGGATATGACTATAGACTACAAAGCCTTTGGTCAGAAGGTTTTGAGGAGTGTGGAACAACCTCTTAATTGCTGTTGTTCCCAGGTTTACCTTGACCCAGGGTCGTACCATTACGGGTTCCAGTTGTGGGCAAATAGTTAACCACCAAATTTGGGTCAAAAGAATATGAACGTATAAGAATAGATTTTTATAGTAAAACTACCAACAATACATTTTTGAAAAACAAATATTACCAGCAATCCATTTGAGATTCAACAAAAACCCTCTTTACAAAAATATGTAAAAAAATAAAAAAGAAATAAACCATATGAGAATGTCAATAGAATCAATTTCTCTACAAACTGCATATCGAAAAATGAATCAATGTTTCCATACATTCGATAAAAACCCTTTTTACAAGAATACGTCAATGAAACGCGATCTACAAACAGATTTCTTGCAAAGAATGCATTATTTATACAAACCTATCCTAAAAATCTTGTCGGCATTAAATAACCCATTGTGGTGTTGATATGCTGTAAAACAAAATAAACCAAAATTATCCTAAAAATCTTGTCGGCATTAAATAACTCATTGAGATGTTGATATATCGTAAAAACAAAATAAACCAAACCTATCCTAAAAATCTTGTGCGCATTAAATAACTCATTGAGATGTTGATATGCCGTAAAACAAAATAAACCAAACCTATCCTAAAAATCTTGTGCGCATTAAATAACTCATTGAGATGTTGATATGCCGTAAAACAAAATAAACCAAACCTATCCTAAAAATCTTGTCGGCATTAAATAACTCATTGAGAGGTTGATATGCCGTAAAACAAAATAAACCAAACCTATCCTAAAAATCTTGTCGGCATTAAATAACTCATTGAGATGTTGATATGCCGTAAAACAAAATAAACCAAACCTTTACTAAAAATCTTGTCGGCATTAAATAACTCATTGAGATGTTGATATGCCATAAAACAAAATAAAACAAACCTATCCTAAAAATCTTGTCGGCATTAAATAATTCATTGAGATGTTGATATATCGTAAAAACAAAATAAACCAAACCTATCCTAAAAATCTTGTCGGCATTAAATAATTCATTGAGATGGTGATATGCCGTAAAACAAAATAAACCAAACCTATCCTAAAAATCTTGTCGGCATTAAATAACTCATTGAGATGGTGATATGCCGTAAAACAAAATAAACCAAACCTATCCTAAAAATCTGGTCGGCATTAAATAACTCATTGAGATGTTGGCATATCATTTCTTAAAACAGTGGACCTCTAGAAAAAAAAATATAAACCAAATGAAAATGTCACTAAAACCAACTTCTCTATAAACTGCATATCCAAAAATACATCAATGAAACCATTCTCTCGATAATAAAAACCCTCGGCAATATATTTGACTCTCGTCAAAGACCCTCTTTACAAAAATACGTCAATGAAACCTGATCTACAAACTGATTTCTTACAAAGAATACATATTCAATTCATACGAACCTATCCTAAAAAATCTTATCGGCATTAAATAACCCATTGAGGACTTGGTATGCCGTGGTCTCTTTTTTTATTTTATTTTTTTGCTTTCGTTGTCATCTAGTGTCACTGCTATTACATTGGAGGTCATCATTCCCTTACGACCCCCAGGTTCTATTTTCTCAAATGCAATATCAAAGACCGAGAGAAACTATTTTTTATTTTATTTTCTAGGATAGGTTTCCTCAGTAAATACCTGGTAGCTTCCGCTGGATATAAAGTGACAACAAGTCGCTTCTGATTTTCTGGGTAGATTTCATCCCGTCTTATGGAGCCTTGGCTGTGCAGGTAGTGTAACGGAACGAGAAATCGACGAACCGAGTTCGAATTCCGAAAAAGAAAATTTAAAGACACACATTGTTAGTACCTGATAATAGTGTTTTACCAGTGGATGGAAAATGTGTTATCGAAATCCGAAGGCGCATTAGAATAGTGAAAAATGCTTTCCAAAAGCTAAGAAAACAATTAAGAAACAGGAATATTTCGCTAGAAACAAAGAAAAATTACTAAACTTTAAGATTATTGACGATTATTTGTTAAGCGGCATATCAACTGCTTATGGGTCATTTAATGCCGAAATTTTATTTTCTTGGAAGTATTAATTTCTTATAAAAATGCATTGCTGGTAATATTTTTTAAAACATGTATTGCTGATAATTTTTACTATACAAATGTTTTTTTTATACTTTCGTAGTGTTTTGACCCCAGTTTGTTGGTTCACTATTTGCCCATAGCTGGGACCCTAACAGGTACTACTACCCCGAGTCAAGATGAACCTAGGAACAACAGCAATTAAGAGATAGTTCCAAGCTCCTCAAAACCTTCAATCTCTGAGAGAGGTCTTGCTGCCGGATGTAGTTTAAAGTCATATCCAGGACACTAAACTGTTAGATAATATCGCTACCCCTTTAT